CTCTTTATTAGAGCCACCACGTTTACCACAACCAACTCAGCACGAAAATATCGCTGCTCATCCTCTTTCCCCAATCTTATAGAGTCAGAAATTTGGGAGCTGCCAGTCAAGACCCATGCCAACCCTAACCTCAGAGACAACTGCACAGGGTCTGACATCATTCAACAGCCTGCGTAACACTTCTTACTTCATCTCATCGCAAAATGTCTCAGACCGAGCGTGGGGAACTGGCAGACTCAGATCTGGCAGCTATCTATATCATTCTCTGCCTTCGCCTCTTTACAACCGACTCAGACCCGACAGACCATTCAAATGAAGGAGATGCCCGGAGTCTTGTGAGTCCTGTCTACCAATGACGGGCGAAATAAGGTACTAATGACGAATGATCAGATGCCACTCTTGGCTGTGCAAAGTATCAAGCCCACCACTTCCATCCATTCTTCGAAGCTTTGCGTACCTTCACGACGGTTCAAAATTTCAGCCACGAGTACTGCTAGAACTCCATGAGGCTCATTTGCAATACCGTTCAAGTAGGATTTCAGGCATTGGGACCCAGTCATGGACATCAGCACAATGCAGACCAACTACGTCATCAAACTCAGAAACTGCCCTACCGCATTGTTCGCCATTTGGGGCCAAAAGTTCTGAAGGCTACCAACTACCCTTTGAGAGCAACTATGGGACATTCTGAGTTCCACTTCACTGCTGGAGGGAGCTAGGTTTCCAGGGATTTGATGCATGTTCCATCGTCATCTTTACTCCTCCTTTGAACATAGCACTTCATCCTCGAAGCAAAGCATACATAATAACCTCTCCAGCACTTTTCGAAGGTAGAACCCCGTAATTCCTCGTTTCGATGCTTTGGACCTCCTACTTCGACAGCACAAGGCATACGTGACAAAAATCCGCAGATTCAAAGTGCTGGATTCGAGTGAGCAGAACTCCTACCACATTGGCTGATGACCCCTGACCGTATGTGTTCTCAATTCCCCATTATACTTTATCCATATCCGTGACTGACCACTGAAATAGTTAATGGATGGATTGGAGAAAGACTAATACAACCTTCGCAATATAATGAGGTGTCCTTACATGCCCGCAAGCGTAAGATCTCAGTCCTATGATTCCGGGGCGGGCTAACAAGTCCATGCTAGTGAATGGTTCAAATCTCACAACTTGGTCAGCGGCTCGAAGCTGTCTTCCCGACATATGAGATATCTCTACCTGAGGAGAGTCCTTTCAGATCAGAGCACATTCCCTGGCAGAAGGACACCTCCAGACTCATCCCCAAATGCAACCACTCCAAATTTACCACCAGACCCTATACAACTATACATTAGACGCAGTTACGATGGTGTTCGAGAGCATCCTTTCTACGTCTATATCGACACTACCTGTATAAATTTTCAGCGCCCATGGGTACTATTTCGCAGGCAAACTTCTGATATAGCAGGCCTTCGCAAATTTTATTGCACCCGCATCGCGCAGCGTATTTCAAAATCTCTCATCTATCACGAAACCAGGCGATTGCCCAGCATTCCGCCATTGTGCCTTCATCTTTATCTGATCGGTGGTATAGAACATGGCGGAGGGAAAAGACGCGCGAATAACCCGAGAGGTGGCTGATGTTAGAGTGATGGCAGTTTTACATCAGTCCGAATAGGAGGATAGAAAAAGAAAGGCACTCTGCGTAGCTTGATAGCAGAATCGCAACACAAATCTTCGACGCCTACGACAGTTTCTACTACTAGCTCGTCATCTTCCTCTACTAAGTCCCCGACATCTGAGAGAGTCTCCACTGCTAGATCGGAGTGGAACCGGGAGAGAAGGGACAAATGGAATCCAGAGAGATCAGGAGACCAGAACAGAATTGGAAGTCAGAAATCAAAGGAAAGCAGAACGACGATCAAAGCGAAGGAGGATATCGAGCGGGAAAATCGAAGGAGAAAGCCAGAGAGAGAGAGAGAGAGAGAGAGAGAGAGAGAGAGAGAGAGAGGAGGAACAAAACGGAAATGGAAATCAGAAAGAGAAGGAATGCAGAACGACGATCAAAGCAAAGGGAGCGATATCGGAAAGACATAATAGAGAAGAAAGCAGGAGAGATGAGGGAAACTGAACGGAGAAGAATGCCAGATATGGGTGGATTGAAAAGCCAGAAGTGGAAAGTCAAACTGCAAACCAGGGATAGCAGCGAGCGAGCGGGGTGCGGTTATTTTAAGGCGTTGGGTGGAGTTTGTTGTATGGCCTCGAGGGAAGGTTCAATATGGGCGAGGAAGGGGCATCTGTTTGGTCCTGTGTTGAGGCGGCAAACTCTTGAATTGGGCAGAAAAATCGAAATGATCTGGGCAGGCGGCGTAGAATGTGGCTTATGCCCTCGGAAGGAGGCCGTCTACGGTTCTTGGCGAATAGGGACGAAGATAGTGATGGAGCAGGAAGGGTCACAGCTGAGGTACGATATCGGAGACGAAAACAGGGTGAAGGAACTGGAGACAGGCTCGTCGGTCGGACTGAGAATGTCCAGAGATTCATCGAGAAGTAAGCACATTCTTCCTCCTGCTACAACACGACTAACCCCAAAAGAACGTCTTGATTCAGAGCCTCACCGAAGATGGAGAATAAGCTTGACGTCTTTATCCCTCTTCGGTTCCATCATGAGCGGACAGCATCATCCACAAGATGTTTTCACTACTGTCATGAGCCCCCTGATCAAAAGCGAACCACGTATGGCTCCTGCATTAAGTGGCGATGCACCTCAACTCGGCATTGCCATGATTGCTCTGATCCGTCTTACATATCAAACATGCTCGGCTCAGGTTCACAATGAAATATTCTTCATCAACATGACAATCTGACCTCGAGACCGAACACCAGAATCGACCAGGCTGGAGTCATATGTTCAGTCTTTCTCGATTCGAAATGATTTCAGTTATTGTCAGTCATCAGTCCCAACACCTCGACTTTGAGCCAGACACCATACACTCGGCCTGTTGTTCCACGCCAATTCACACGAGCTTGATCTTTGCATGTACTCGACTATGCAATCGCTAAAGCACCTCAATTCAAACTTGTTCACATCCGACTTCTCAACACGTTCATATGCTATCGCGACCTCAGAGCTCCTAGCTCAAAGTCGGTCGAATCCCACAAATCCACAGCTCAAGTGGAAACACCTTTCTTCAGGACAATTCATGTGGCCTATGTGCCGAAGCTGCCCACATTTCGAACCGTGGAAGCATTCTTACCATTTAAATACCAACACAGACTCAACTTGCACGTTGCCTCAATTGGCCACCTGCAACATGTTGAGCCCATCTGAAGAGGCTCCTCGAACAGTCAAACAACCGGACATGGCTCGCAGCGAGAAGTCACCCGAAGAATGTACACATTCAAGATGAAGATTTATCATCAATATCCTTCCAACTGTCGTTACAGCTCTCTTGAATTGTCACACCAACCTATGGATCTCTGCAGATATCCTGCTTTGTCCCCCAACAGCTTCAAATCAGACCTCCGCGTTCCAAGATATTTTCTCAACCACATGAAGAACTCGCGCCCTCGATCTGCCTTGAATGTACCCTGGGAAAATTTTACTGCTCATAGGAAAGAAGTGCCTCGTCGAAACATCAAACTCCTGTATCCTAGATTTGTGCCCTTCTCAGAATAATAGATAAATACCTCAATCTCACTTTCTCCCTGTGATATTGAGCCCGTCCCCAGAGTCTGTGACCCGATTCAAAATCCAAATTCACAGGCTATGGAAACGCTGGCCTGCTTACACGGTTTAACCATAATGAGGAAGTAGCATAAAGGGAATTCCAACACAGTGGCCTTCAGTGGTTATATGTAGACGACCTGCGGACAACTGACAATGCGGGCTCGGGAGAGCCAACACCAGAATCCGTCCGCATATTACCTGTTCAAAACATACAGCAAGCTGATAACTCGATCATGTAAGGTTGCTAATTTGGTTCGAAGAGTTGACTTCAACAGTCTTGTCAACAATCTCGATTGCTCTGGCACCTTATGCCACCTTACGTCAGGATGCTCATCGTTTCCCCCCCCTCGGGCTCTGGTGCTGTCTCCCTGTATGCCTCACTCCATCTATTGAAACGCCGACAAATACTCTATCAAATTACCTTCCCAGGTCATAGAGTAAAACGGTGAAGCCTAGATAGAAGGACGAGGACCTGAATAACGCACAGACATCGCCCATGGGTGACAGCTGTCTGCCTTGCAACCAACCATGCCCCGAGCCTGAAACTTCGCTCTGGACGAATTAAGGACACAGGAGATTGAGGAGTCTGAGGTAGAGTGGCTCAGGTCGAAATCATACTGATCGGCAAGGAATATGTGGTTCTGCTTTGACAGGGATGCCCATGCATTGTGGGGCAGTGTTGTGTGACATCACTATGCCAACAGCAGTTAGATCAAATTTCTATGTCAACCTCATCTCGACGACAACTTTTCGTTGGTTCTCCCAACATCCATTGATCTGATCCAGACAGATCGCAGGGAGCAAGTGTGCTGTTGCTCATGAGTGTGAGCTATGGCATCAAGCATCTTCAACCTCTGACATACCCACAGAGGCCCCTATTCGCCTGCTTGAATATTTTCCTTCTGTCAAAATCTCCTGCTTCTGCCTTGTCCCGTGTGTGTATTCGAAAGGTCCGATATGATACACCTTGTGGTGGCCTTCAGTATCTACTGCGAGGATGCAGTAAGCGTCCAAGCCGAGGTCATCGGTAAAGCATACGAAAGTAGGAGATCGAGTGTCTGTACAGTCACCTCCGTGTTCATTGGCACAGCATGGTCTTTGGGGAACGAAATTTCATATCTCAGAGAATTTCATGGTAGCAAATACGACAGCAGAATCTTGAGGGAATGGCGGGTAGTGCCTGAGATTTCTAGGGGTCAGGGTTGACCAGCTGGCCGGAGTCTTAACTTATTTTCCCCGTCGCCCTTATTAAATTGAATAAGACGTTCTCGCTAAAACACATCGAGGGCGTTTGGCGCAGTGGTAACGCGCTCGTTGGTAATTAGCCATTGAAAAGTCTTGAACTGTATTGTTGTGGGACAGGTTCACCTTTCCCCGAGTGCATTGCCCAGAGCCAACAACTCTGCCAGCGGTGCCCAAGCCAACAACTCTACCAGCAAAAGACACCAGTGGTACCAAGAACGAGAGATCGCAGGTTCGAACCCTGCAACGTCCAAACAATTTTTTTTTGAGGCCTTTAGTTCCTTTTTACGTACGATTTATATTTGATGCCTTCCTCTTTTATTATAAATTTGTTGACTTTTTATTTCTACATAATTTTGATCGTAGCATATATGTAACCTTGCTCAAATAAGCTGTTGCTTGTTGATATCTTTTTAAGGAGCCCTGTGTAGAGCAAGTCAGACCTGGACGAACGGGCTCTAGGCCCAGATCATAGAGCTCACTCGCGTCTCTGAGGATACACGCGGTTTGATTGGAAGAGTTGTAGTATCGCTGTTTATCTACGCTTTTGCAGTGCCATCGTAGCTTCGCGTGGAAAGGCAAAGAACCACGATTCGCGTTGGATAGCCTTGGCTATTGCACGGTTATACCCTCGATAACACACGCGTTTCAAAGCTCGTCACACATGCGTGAGCAGTATGAATCTTCAGGCTCTTTTCATGGCCCTCTTTAATCATGGCAGTTCTTCCATCCATCCTGGGAAAGCGTTTGAATAGTAGGCGCCAATGAGAAGACGCGTTTGCTGCCCCAGAAGCAAGCCAGAGACATTTCTCAAGAAGACATTTTGCCAGTCGAGACTGTCTGTATAATGTTTCGAAAGTCATACTGCTGTCACTCCAAGTTGTTCCCTGAGGGACCTTGGAATTCAGACCAGAAACCGCAATTGGCTCATATCCAAAGTCACAGTGTGGAGTACAGTTTACATGTCACGTCATCGATATTGAAGTTCATTGCTTCTCGGTGTCTCGACCCCGCGTCTACATCTCTCTGGACTGGTTTCACAGAGGCGGGGGGGGGGAGAGGCAGATGAGAGGCTCGCGCGCGGGGTACCGAATTTTAGATTTATACTCACCTCAAGCGAGCGTGGTGATCGCATGGTCGCGTGGTCGCGTGACAGCTGCAATGATGTATGAGCAATGCTAGGAAGACTCCTTTTTACATTGTACAACTATTTATACTATATATGTTGCCTCTAAGACATGAGTTCTATTATTATATCCTTTCTTAGCAATAGGATATCGCATATACAGTTCTGAATTCTGTATGAATTCTGTTTCGAGCTATTTTCATGTTCTCGAACGGATCACTTAGTGAAATCCTAAGTTCTGATTCGCTCGGTTATTGAGTGATCTGGCGAGGCTGTCAGTACAGCCTTATAGATAAAAGCTTCAGTAAGTGAGTAAATTTCCCTCTTTAAGCATCCTATAAATTTTAAGGATAAGTCATGGCGGGCGATACGTACAATATCACGGGTGGTGTCCTTCACGTACGCTCTTTTCTTATTTCTTCTTGCTTTTTTCTTCCCGAAGCTACTTTGTTCACGTTTGTGGCGCGCCAAGTGGCGCGTCTTTACCTCCAACCCCTATTCTTAAACCTCGCTAACCTATTTATAGCAACACATCGGGGGCCGTGGGGGTGGGAGGAGGGGGGGCCGCGGGGGTGGACGCGGGGGCCGCGGCGGCGGTGGCGGCGGCGGCGGTGGTGGTGGTGGAGTAAGTCCTCTCTTAGCACGCTTTGACGCGTATTCGTTCTTTGAGAATTATGCTAACTGAGCTCTTAGGCTGGAGGTAGTGGCCCGGATGGGCAGTTGGTGAGACTCTTGAATTCGGACGCGTGTCAAGTCTCACTACTAACACCTCGAATTTAGTCGAGAAAGGAGCGGAAGCAGCTGAAGAGGCTGCAAGCGTATGTCTTTGATCTCAATGGATTTTGGACTTGATATTTATTGTATACAGAATCGCGGCTGCCCAAGCCAACAACTCTACCAGTGGTGCCCAAGCCAACAACTCTGCCAGCGGTACCCAAGCCAACAACTCTGCCAACGGTGACCAAGACAACAACTCTACCAACGGTGACCAAGCCAACAACTCTGCCAGCAGTGCCCAA